ATTAAGTTGAGTATTCAGCAAAGATACGTCTATAAAGATGAATGGACACCTACTGTTGTCTTGCTGTATACACACAATAATTCTACCATCCGGCACATATATTCTGATGAATACACTATCTCATTCCTTATATAAATGTAGATAAATGCAGTGCATAATTGTGGATTGCCTACCATGAGTCTACATGAATTGCAATAAAACTACCAATAACAAGAGTACAACAGTATATTCACATACTCAAGAATGATGGAAACTTACTTTCTCCAAGCTTCCAACTACCAGAACATTGTTCAGAATAAAGTGATTATCATTATTAGTAACCATATTTTCACTGCATAACAAGCACCTATCCAATGATAACAAAGAAATATTTTACAGATTACATTTGATTCACTTTAAACTTATATTATCAATAGATAACTTGACTACACAGTGTGACGATGCTGCAAACAATTGCAACAGGTCAGTTGACGGACTGCAGGCTAGTCATGACATGTTAAATGTAACGCAGCCAAACAAGTCAATATACTAGATAACAGATAGGAGTATTTAGTGAGTATACTACAGAAAATTGAGACATTAATTAGAACTACTTTAAAAAAGCCCGTTTTACAGGTTGCTTGAACGAAATAATGTTAATCACGACACATTAAGTTTACATGACAACATTCTGTATACGGACAATGGTAGATATCCACAACATTTTTCGTATTTCCCTCTAAATAATGTCATTGTTCTTATCACTCTTTCTGGTAATTTAAAGATTTCCATTGAATAATCATAGCTAAAAGTTTCTTCATCATGCTCACCTCCTCAAACTAACTTAATCTTACTTACCTCTAACTCACACAAATTTTGCTTTCAATTTTATTTACAATGGCAAAATGATATTTCAATATATTGAACATACCCATTTAGACATTTAGAAAAAGACTTATTTAGCAAAGAAATATATTTCTTTTCAATCAGGTCTTCATCTTGGGCTCCACACTAATATATAGGTTTACAATTTAATCAAATTACCAATCAAGTGGTGATGTTTCGGAAATAATGATGTAAATAATCAATAGAGTTACTAAAATTGGAAATATGAATATTGATAGAAACAAGAAGGGGAAGAGGTGTACAAAGAAAACCTAGAAGTTACATCATGTTGACGGCTATGGTAATGAAAGTGGTTGAACAAACTTCCTTTGGATACAAAGACTAGGTTTGTAAAGGTGGATTGCAATCACCTCTGCTATGTGAAGTAACCGAGTGCGTAATCCATGAGGTAGATTAATTGGAATCTGATGGATAGTTTTGAAGGCCTTTCCAGTAACCACTTGATGTTCTGTGTCAACTAAGTGTTCGAGTATGGAGCTCTTTATAGTTCTAATTTGTCCCTTTGAGACTGTACTTCACAACTTCTTTGTAAAGAGGCTTCAAAAGTTGTACCAACCATTTCTCTGTTGTATGATACGGAGAGTTAGTCATGTCAAGAGCTGGTCGTAGAGGCAGACCGTTTTCACGCAGTTTCGGTATGCCGTAAAGTCTAGGTGTAACGGTCCCAGTAGGTTTCAGCATTTCGAGGGTGCTTTCTGAAATGAAACCTTGTTATTTTATCCATTTCAGTGATTCAGTTAGATTTTTCTCGGTTTTCTCTGTTGTATCACCATAAGCGGCTAATTTCTGAAATTCACTTTCATCACTAAGTAAAGAATTCATTTTGTCTGTGTACTCTTTCTTATCCATTAAAACTACTCCTGACCCTTTATCTGGCTTGGCAATCACGATATTTGTATTGGTTTTAGGCTTTTCCCAGGCTTCTCTATGTTTTTTCATTGAAATACTCTTCATACTGGTCCTAGAACTATAAAGAGCTCCATACTCGAACACTTAGTTGACACAGGACATCAAGTGGTTACTGGAAAGGCCTTCAAAACTATCCATCAGATTCCAATTAATTTACCTCATGGATTGCGCACTCGGTTACTTCATATAGCAGAGGTGATTGCAATTCACCTTCACAAACCTAGTCTTTGTATCCAAAAGAAGTTTGTTCGACCACTTTCACTACCGTGGCCGTCAACATAATGTAACTTCTAGGTTTTCTTTGTACACCTCTTCCCCTTCTTGTTTCTATCAATATTCATATTTCCAATTTTAGTAACTCTATTGATTATTTACATCATTATTTCCGAAACATCACCACTTGATTGGTAATTTGATTAAATTGTAAACCTATATATTAGTGTGGAGCCCAAGATGAAGACCTGATTGAAAAGAAATATATTTCTTTGCTAAATCAGTCTTTTTCAAAATGTTATTAACATTTTTGTCACAAATCAGATTCTAATATTGCTAATGCTTTTCTCATTTAAAGTCAGTTCACTGGTTCCACTTTAAAATTATCATTTTTATATCCTAAGATATTTGTAACTGAAGAGAAGCTACGAGAAAGGATCAATTCATTTCATTTCATCAATTGTATTCTCCTAGCCTTTGTGAAGTTCATCATGGAACCGTAATTTCTAATGGCAGATTCCATTCCATGTTTTACATTTATTTTACTGCAAAGTATAAAAATCAGTAAGAAGTTGCTTGAAAAGTTTCTGCTTCTTTCCAAGTAGCACTTCATCACTCAGTATATTATACAGAATACTTATTAAGGTGAAATCAAGGACCTGGTGCTGAATTTTTATTTAAAACACAAATTTTTACAAATTAGTTAATTACATAAATTGGTAGCCTTTCATCACAACAGTCATGCATTTATCTTCTAGACATATACTTTTCAAAATAGAATTGTGTATCAAATTATGAATTAGCATTCAAAAAAACAGTTAAACGAAAGAATTGATGTCATCTAATTTATAGTAAATCTTACAGTGTGCTTGAGACAGTGATTGAGAATCTTCAGCACAAATCGATGCTTAGAAGGTTTTTAGTAGCGAAGAACTATCCAGAGATTTTCTACACCGTACCGAGAAGTAATTTGGCAGTTGCTTCAACACTACGGAATACCACAGACCTTTATCAATCTCATTCAACACCTAATGACGACGCCACATGCCAAGTAATTCACAATGGGAAGCTCAGTGATGCCTTCGAAGTGAAGACAGGAGTAAGACAAGGCTGTCTACTATCACCCATGATATTTCTGATCGTAGTGGACAGGATCATGCAACAAACAGTGAGGAGCAAGAAGAGGAGGATACCCTGAAACGCAGAAAAGAACCTAGGAGATTTGGATTTCGCCGATGATGATTTATATCTAATGTCACACAAACTTGAAGATCCACAGGCGAAAACTAACAAGTTGACAAAACAGGCAGGGCAGCGAAGATGGGACTTCAAATGAAAGTAGAGAAGACGGAGGTGATGAAGATACGCAAACAACGCCATCACCAATAACAACAAGCTCGAATCACCATCAACGGGAGAAACTTAAAGGAAGTAGTCTCTTTCACCTATCTAGGCAGCACCGTTTCAACTAGAGGCGGCACAGACGAGGATGTCAAAGTCAGGATCGGAAAAGCAAGACAGGCTTTCATTAACCTGAAACCAGTGTGGAGATCTCCTCTGCACTCAGCATAAAGCGTGAACAACATCCGGATTTCCAACACCCATGCCAGTCAAGTCAGTCCTTCTGTATGGCTCAGAGACTTGGCGCATTTCGAAAGGCATTTCCAACAAACTGCAGACATTCATCAACAACTGCTTACGCTCGTTACTGAAAATCAGATGGCCAGAAAGAATCAGTAATAAGGAACTCTGGCTGGCTGGCTGGCAACGAACCAACGAAGCAAGAACCTATCGCTGAATAAATATGCAGGAGGAAGTGGAGATGGATTGGACATACACTGAGAAGGCCGACTTGGGACATCACACGCCAAGCCCTCCGGTGGAACCCAGATGGAAAGCGACGAGTTAGGCGTTTGAGGTGAGGTTGACATGGAGGAGATCGTGCGAGGAAGAAATGAGGGCATGTGGGTAGTCGTGGAGCCAGGTTCAAAAGACTTCAGAGAACAGAGTTCACTGGAGATGTGCTACTGAAGCCCTATGTTTCATTAGGAACCCAAGGGACAAATAATAAAATCGTAATAAATCCCACACTGTACTTGATAGAATTGATATACAAATTCATTTTGGAAACTTTCTAATATACATATATGACTTATTACCTTAGACAAGGAAGTAAATGGAAAGGCTGAAATCAACTCTCATTGATCGTTACTACACGCATATGAATAGTAAACAGAGTGCCAACAGCTTTTTTTTAAACAAAAGGAAGTTAAGCATGAACTACAGACGAATGACAATTTGGTCATCATTTAACTAAAAAAAGGTTTAAGACTTGCCGTTTTGAATAAATAACAATAGTAGGATATAATAATCATGATTAGTTTCAGACTGTGTTGAATATAAAAGATATTGTCTTGTAAAATGTGTAACAAATACTCAAATCTGCTGATAAAACAACGCCTAGACTATAAGGTTTACCAAAAACAGTTATTAGTTTAATCACTCTATTAATGATAATACAAAGAAAACAGTTATGTAAGGTAATTTGTTGGTTTATATAAAAAGAAATTCTATACGTCTTATTGTTCACTCTCAAATAGAGATAGTTCACACTTAAAAAAGAAATAAATTGAGTAGAATCCAAAGTTCTTATCCATCTTACAGAGAGTGTGACTTCACAACCTTTTTAGTGTTTCAATGATACACATAAAGACAACTACTTTTGAGTACTTGATTCGTGTAATCTGTGAAATCATATATATACAAGTTTTATTCAAAATATATTATCATGTAACACACAATTGGTAAATAGTGATTTAATAAACAAAGTTGATATTAACTAGGATTATGTTGCATACCAAGTGATGGACTTTGATAGGTGATATCATTGAGAATTAAGTATTCAAATCAGTTATCAGAGAAATAGCTAAAAAATTCAACCCGAACCTTGATATATATATATATATATATATATATATATATATATATATATTACTTTGAAGAGTTTATTGTGTTACTACTAACAGAGAAGAAGAGTTCAAATTCAGATGAAATATTCTTCATGAATTTCTGTGAAATACGCAAAGTTCTACCATTTTTTCTTGGCATTACAACTGGCATTATAATAGTCACATTGAAATCAAAATATAACAATGATAAAATTGTTTTATGTTCAAATGATAAACATCATAACATACATGATAAATTGAAGGGAAGAGGAGAAAAAATAGCTAAAAACCAAAATAGTTTATATGAAAACGTGAAACAAACTTACTGTAAGTTGGCTATTACTTGATTTAATAATAATTTAAATGAATAAATTTATTCATATGGGCTAAAGAGGCAGTATAAACTGAAGATAGTACTAGGAATTCAACAGAAGTCATCGATAACTTCAAACAGAAGTGAACAATTCATACTTGAAAAGTGTTCACTGACACCATCCTTTCCTTATCTCACTTACCTCAAAGTAGCATTAAAGAGAATGAATGAATCTATTGACAGTATAATCAATGATAAGATAAATTGCATATTTGTTTGTTGAAATAACTTCTTGACATGATTTTCTTGATAAGTTATTAAAAATGTCAAGTAGATGGCGCTGATTGAAATGATATACTGAATTTCCTCAAAATTAAGGAAGTCAAGGTCATCAACTCGTGCTTTAATCTATTCCTAAAATAGTCTAAGTATTCCTATATATCCTAATGGATTAGCCTTAACATGAGAGAAAAGCCATTGGCGCTGTTTTTAATTGCAATTTTACATATTGAATAACTAAACCAAAATAGACGTTTAGATAACTAAAACAATTTTGAATTTTAAAGGTCAAATATAGTGAAAATGAAAAGGTTGTGACACTAGTCTTGATAATATAAACAGATAAGGATTACCAAGGTAAATTAAGTGAAACAACAAATTGTTTTTGTACACACAGTGGGGGATTAAGTTTACGATTGGCTAATGCTTCGGCAAACTTCAGTATGCGCCCCTGAGCATTGAGTGAAATAAAATAAATTTGTTATAGCTGACGTTTCACTATTTAATGTTAATAGCTTTGTCAAACTGTAGTAAACTAGAATTTACAATATATAAGCTTATATATGATAACTTGATATGCATTGTTCTGGATGAACGATTCTGCGTTGTCGAATTGTTGAAGAAAGATGATATCCATATGTGGTGTGTTATATGTTAAGACTCTGTGTGAATTACTGATTTAAATCCATGCACTAATAGTTTTTGTCGGATTTATGCTGTTTATATCAGTACGTAGGGGTGGATTGAGACCAGGTCAAACTACGTTTTATTCCCTAACTCTTACTGAGGTCGTTTTGATTCCACCTTAGATGTAGAGATTGTGTTATGATGTCATCTTCATAATTTCTAAAGCATTACTCAATAGTTTCGATACTGTCAAAATCAACCTTATAACCTGAAATTATAGTATGTGTAGAGCTATGACTGAAGTGTTTTCAAGTTTTTTCAGCTCCATTGGATTTCAAGGGGATCGGGTCGAAGACCTATGGTGTTTATTTTCTTTAATTTTGACTTAACGGGAAGTCTTTCCTATGTATACTACGTCTCAGTCTGAGCATTTGATTTTGTAAACAATTAGATTATGAGTCCTTTTAATGAACTACGGTGCTCTGCAATGCGTTTGATGTTCTCTAGAACACTCTGATATTGCATTTGTTGAGCACTCTCCTAATTTTATTCAATGTGTGTGATCTGGAAGGGAAAACTATTGTTGAGGCCCATGATTTAGAAGTAGTTCTATGATCTAATTTAATGTTATTTTCTATTTTGTGGGTGAATTTCACCGAATAACTATTCATTTTAATCACCTTGTTTACATATTTTTAATCCTTAACTTTTTCATTGTCATACGTTACTCAAGTGTGTGCTCTCCTTAAAAGACTGAAGACAACAGAAACTTTCACATTTATTGGATGTGATGAGCTGAAATCTAACTATTTGTTCGAATGCGTTGCATACCGTATAACCATTTTACTTCCGCTGAAAAAAAGCAATCAAGGAAGAGAGGTTCTCCAATACCCGTTTCTTTTACTGACCTGAACTTGATACTTGGTGACCTAGTGTTCAGTTGATCTACGAATCCCTGGAATAAGTCGCGTTTTAAGACTTTAAACGTATCATCAATATACCTCAACCAAATTTTCGGCTTTTTAGTAAATGCATGAAGATACTTTTTGAATTTACCCATGAATAGGTTCGCTTCTATAAGTGAAACAGGTGAACACATAGCTACATCGTTAATTTGTAAATATAGTTTTCCGTTAACTTTAAAGTAATTAGTCTACATTGCTACTTGGTCTACTATGGAATCAACTATGAAGTCTTACTATACAAAATAATAGCTGATCAAGAATGCTTCTGACGAAAAAGCCCTTGCAGGAAAACTTTTATTTCTTATGTTTTGAAACAAACTGCTTGTTAAAAAGTCAGTCGATTTACGCTAACCATGATATAACTAAAACTTAATATTTTTAGATTGGTGAAGATCAACTTTAATGTCTACGGAAATGATGTTAAATCTAGTAAGCTTCCAAAAAGCATTCTTGACATCAATAAGCATTGATCAAAAGGTATTTTGATATGGATAAGTCAGAAAAAACAACTTCCAGGTGGAACTGTAAGAGATACGTTTATCATCAACCCATCCAAACAAATTACTCTTAAGAGCGTTAAATAGGCATTGATCGAGAAGAAATTATTAACGAACTGACTGATTTTCGTTATCTGTTGATATTTTCAAATCTGCTCGCCTTCGAGTTTCACTTGAATGAACATCACTCAGTGGAGTGCAGGTACATTCAGTAGTCGAGTCCCAAATAGGATGAAACATGCGTCTTAGATTTCACTAAGATGAATACAACAATGAATATTAGGCAGAATCGAGATCTGCACTTAGGAGCCATACGGTCAAATAATTTAACCCCATAGGGCAACGGGAAACTACAAGTATTAAACAAGGTCTGCTTCACTTCTTTCATTTTGGACAGTGAGAGTATTTAGTTTACCATGATTTAGTCTGTTGGTTCTTAACTGAAACATACAATTTTTTTTGATAAATAGTAGTTTTTGGAATTTCATCAATCAGAAAAATATTTTTAGAACCAAAAATTAACAAGACTTTGAGTCGTTGACTTAGAGTTTGCATCTACAAAATTTTAGATTTGTGATATACACCTTACATGTGAACAACTGTAGATTTGTCAAATAATTTCTTCAATTCATTCAAGTCATATTGTTAATTGCCATTTGGTATGCTTATAATTCTCTGTAGTTCCAAGGTATTGAATTGTTCAAAGTCTTTTGGCATATAGGCTTCTATGTGCATGCCTCGATATTGTCTGAATATTTATTATGATAATTTACTTGGTTGTGATCAGCAGAGGAGTCCAGGATGCAACCCAAAAAGGATGAAACGTGCGTCCTGCATTCTTCTGGTAACTGCAACTAAATAAATTATGATTATATTGGTAATATTTATAATTAATGTGACCTAGTAATCATTTTATTTTTATCTTTCGTTGTTAAGTAATAGATATCGAAAAAGCAAGAAACTTGCACTCTTCTGTTCGTGTATTGTGTTATATTAATACAGTGCCAAAAACTCATAGAAAGAAAGCAGTGCATGTGAAAAATAGTTGGGCGAAACGTTGTACAAAATACTTGTTTATGAGTAGTACAAATGACAGTGAACTTCTAACTGTTAGTAAGTTTATACAAGTTTATAACATAAAAATCCTACTTTCATCTGCCTTTCAAATTTGTAAGCTATATCCTTGAGGGGGGCCGACGTCGACCTGAGTGTCTCAGTGGTAACATCCGTGACTGCAACACCAAGGTACGTAGGTTCATATCTCTGGCGGGACATTAATCCCGTTGAGGTTGCTAATACGCATTACTGACGAGTGCCAATGAGCATGGAAAATATCTCCCTGCCTTCCTGCCAATTATCTCTAACCAACTAGCAGCTATATCCTCCGATTAACTGGTCAACTTTCCCAGAGATTACGGTCCAAGCAATCCTAATCACACAATAATGAGACAATAAGTTAAAAACTCAGCGTAGATCCAGTTCATCCAACTTCATATTCAGAAGAACTAAGTAAAACTGCGGTTAAAGTACTCTTTTAATAAACTATCGATTTATTCAACATTCTGTCAAACTTCAATGTTCTCTAAAAATACATGATATCTTATTTCCGATGGATACAGAAAACACATGCAATAATCAACTTAGAAATACATGTAACAAATATCTATCTTTCCAAAACATTTCCAAGTACTTTCTAAAGAAGACTAGCTTGTAAACTGTTAACAGATCCTTTCAGAATTGTTGAATTGGAAGCATAACAAGTAATATCAACCGGCCCAATGGAAGTCTCTGGCATACGAAAGATGGCACTTGAAGCTAGCCTCAGGTTACGAGTATACTTGCTGGGAAGAACTAAGTACAGGATGGAACAGCTCCTTAGTAATCTTTCAAGTGAGATATTTGTCCAAAATATACTGTGACAAATGGTTGTTAAAATTGAAAGACATAAAGCAATTACACAAAGCGATCACACATGTCTTCGTAGCATCTCCCGAGCTTGAGGCAGTCACCGTGTGAACAGTGTTGAGGTCACGGGAATAATACTAGACAAGTCGACTGAAATGGCCTGGACATGTACTACGTATACGGAACCACCGCCTACCCCGACGATTTATGCTAGGGGAATTAGATAGGTCAGAAGAGCGTTCAGGATAGCCGGTTAGACCAAGATGTGGTATCAATCGAAACGAAAGGAATGAGTGGTTGAGGAGTCTTGGTGATATGTCATCAAGAACCCCAACTAGTCAATCTACATCTCCCCACACGACTCAGATCAACAGTAAGAGACTTAATTGATGGATACCATATCTTGGTCTGACCGGCTATCCTGAACGCTCTTCTGACCTATCTAATTACCCTAGCATAAATCGTCGGGGTAGGCGGTGGTTCCGTATACGTAGTACATGTCCAAGCCATCTCAGTCAACTAAGGTTCACAACCTAATAAATCGACTGGCGTGTCTTGTTTAGTAGTATTCCCGTGACCTCAACACTGTTCACATGGTAACTGTCTCAAGCTCGGGAGATGCTACGAAGACATGTGTGATCGCTTTGTGTAATTGTTTTATGTCTTCCACTTTCAACAGCCATGTTTCGTAGCTTTATAACAGGACAGAACGAATCATAGTGCAGCACACTCGTCCTTTGATAGGTAGTCAGATATCTTAACAGTTGTGTCCGCAGGCGATGATAGTTGACAAATCTCAAACGAGCCATATGCATCCCAGCCGTTACTTTGTCTGCAACTAACCCGTTCGGTGTCCTGATGCAACTCCCGGGGTAAGTGAAGTGGTTAATACATTCCACCACTTCACTCTCTATCATTAAACTGCAAGTACTTCCATTAGACCAGTCTTGAAGCATCATCTTACATTTGACAGTTACGAAAGGCATGCTAAACATACTCAAATTTTCGCTAAACGCGTTCATAAGACCCTGTTTTTTGTCAGCGTCTTCACCTAGTAGGGCAATATCGTCTGCATGCTCGAAGTCAACTAGATGGCCCCCATTATTTATTTAACCCTTTTGAAGTCAGACTTAGTTACGGTCATGATCAATAGTACGTCTGGGATGAAATTAAATAAGAACGCTGACAGTGGGCATCACTGAGTAAAACAATAACTATTTGACATCATTTATGATGACAACTTTCAATCAGCCCTTAAACAGATGCGTAATTTAGAGTACAGAGCTTCGATTAAAGTTAAATACATGCTCTGTACTCTCTTCATAGTCAGACACTGTCATTTCAACTCACTGTCTATTGAGTCAAATGCCACTTTCAGTCATCTCAACTTCAAAAAGAGTTGGAAGACAAATATCTACTTCCCATTCAGGCTAACGATGGATGTTTGCAACTGAAGCCTTGCCGGTAGCCAGTTGAACACTGCTTCAAATTGTTCTCCCCAACATTCTAACCATCTGTCCTGAGAAAATATAAGCGCCCCATCCTTGTCCATCATGGCTTGACCAACCATCATCTTCTTGCTGGCATCCTTAATAGGCCTAAATAGTTGCCGAGTACTAACCAACGATAATGCCTTCTCCAGCTCTCCCACATTCATAACCCACCAATCCTCGCGATCGATGCTGACTCTTAGTCAACTTACGTTTGAGTTACTTTCACTGTCCATCTCAGTCATAGCCACCTGGAATCAGTCTTCTCACATCATCAGTTCGGATGATGTAGTGGGAATCCAATGATGCTTCCTAACCTTCAGGTGTAGGTTACTAATTGACTTTATCGCTGTTTCTACACCAGACTCAATATCAACCTAGGTTTTCTCAGGATGAACATTGCTTTCATGTTCAGATAAATGCTTAGTTATCTCTTCCCTAAATTCCGACTTGATGTTCTCATCTTCTAATCCACCATGGACAGGCTTCACTGCTGCCTGTTTCTTGCGATAAGTAAAGTGCAGACATACACTAGCCTGTACTTGTATGTGATTGGAGTCGTAACTGACACACCAGAAATAGCGACAACCCTCCACAGATCCTCCCCGACGATGGCTGTAATCTATCTGTTTTCATCAGCAGGCGAGATAGTGTCTTTCATTAAGCTTTAAGTTAATGCTGGCCAGAAACAAGTGGCTTTCTAAAACAAAAGTGAGAGCTTCTCGTAGAGTTTATCCTTTGCATCATTGGAACTACAGTCGGTGGGTGCGTATGTAGAGATTACAAATGGGCATCGGTTGGTCGCACTATCCTTTCTAGTCCTTATAGATCCATTCAGTTGAACAGCACATAGTAGACTGGTTACTGGTATCCATTTGTGAAGTGCATTTTCCGCTCTACAACTCAATGCTATGCCTATACCAGCAAGTCCACGAAAGCTGGTCACTAGGTATTCGGATCCATTAAAGGTCAGTTTTGAAGATTCACTACCATTACCAGTTAAGGTCAATTTAATAACCACACTCCGGTCCTGTATACATATTTCTGAGACAAAGCATACATTCATAGCTAGAGATTCCAAGGTTCTGGCGAGCTGTGCTTACTGTCTGATCTGGTATAGAGTTCAAACGTTCAAAGCTCCTACATGAAGTCGATGGCGTGGTCTTTATTGACTAGGAATGAGGTATCGATGGCTTTCATTGTTGGCAATGGTTGCAGAATGAGAAAGTGGGTAAAGCGTAAGAAGCCTAATATTAGTATCAGGAGGTGGAGACAAAGGAGGTTGTGTTTAGTTGGGTCCCAGATGTCCACTCCATGGAAGGTTATTTCTTATGAAGGAAAAAGATTTATCTAACAACAGAGCCCATGAAATATCTGCTTGAGGTCTGTCACACGGCCTTTTGAGGGATGTTGTTTGAGGTTTGGTTGTTCTTACCCTGAACAAAAAGAACCCATACCGCCGACACCGGGAGGTCCTGGGGTGTGTTATTTCCGGGATCGACCTTTTCTATCCTCTTTCTCGCTTCCTTTAAAAGGTAGGATCAGTGTGTGCGTGTGTATATGTGTGTGGAAACACCTAATTGCTGTCACACCTCATCCGGCTGGCACCAGCATGACACCACCATCAGACTCCCATCAGAAAGTAGTCATTTACACAACAGTAACTGCTGTACGTCTTATCACTATGCGACAAACCTTTCTAGAATCGTCGGATCTCGAAGAAACAAGCTTTCCGTCAGCATAGCTCATTAAGTCATTGTGTTTTTCAAGCCTGACCATCACGTTAAGGTAGCAGCTATCGAAAGAACTAACATATCAAAGAATCTTGGTACAATATTAGTTGATTTCGTTATTTTACCAAAACGTTTAAATATGTGTTTACTTTAATTGAATCCTTTTTACTGCGCTTTTAATTGTTCTTTCTTTGTATTCAGAGTTAAATTTAAGTTACCCAGAAAGTCGTAAACACTTATGGAGTAAAATGCGAACAATTCTTCGTTATGTTTATCAATTTCGTAATGACTATGATTATTTTCTAAAAGCAGACGATGATACATTTGTTGTAATGGAGAACTTGCGATCTGTGCTAAGTCGACACAATCCCAGTGATCCATTTATGATGGGTTACCACTTTCCTGTAAGTTACATTCATTCCTATACCGTAAACTAAGTAATACCGGGTATACTCGTATTTTTGGTTTTAAGCAACTAAAAATTAACATCAACTGAATTGATTGGTACAGCAGTTCTGTGACTTCACTATATAAATACGGTTATTATAAGGATGATAGTTGGCTGAACTATGTATTAACTAGCTAAATTATTTCATGAAACCTTATGTGAATCTGTTTCCAACAAATTCAGAACCATAGTGATTCTCCAACAATAAACAAAACGCTCGAGTTACACTTAAAATCAAAAACACAGAATTTGTCTGAAATACGGTTCTGTACAGTATGGTGACAAATAAAATAACAATCCTGAGTCGTGACGTATCGTTGTCAAAGTACTGCACAGAGAGTGCGTCAACAGTAAAAACAGCAAGGCTATTTTTTAAGCAAACCAGATAGGAAAACATAAAATGCTCACTCTTGTTTCCACGATAAAGTAACGACATGAGATAAACAAATATTCAACGTAACATAGAACACAAAGGGGAAACTGAAAGAAATTCTAACGCCATCAGAGACCGGGAAAGGTACTAGTATCCCAGGGTGTTAAGTGATGAACGTGATACAGCGGAACAGAAATAACAGTCAGGTTGTGGAAGAAGTAACATTATATGAAACGTTGGTTATACCACCAGTTGTACCACTAGTACCACCAGTAGTATAAAACTGAAGGTACAAAACGGCAGACAAACCTAACACCACACAGGATAGACGAGAACAAGGTAGGAAAGGAATTAACACCTTGAAATAACCAAGATTATAGGAATCTATTATATACTCTGTTGTCAGGCCTCACTGAAAGTAAATATTATTCAAGTTAACAAAATGGATGACTGAGTTACTTTGGTTTAGCATACAATCCAATAACACCAATCAATATATTATATGTACTGGATGGTACCGGTGGTCTCTGGTTCGAATCTGGCCGCGGTCAAGATTTTCATCTCATCTTCAGTCACCCCCTAGTACAAATACTAGTCTGCCAAACTAAGGCTATCTCAGATGGTCAAATCACAATCAATATATTATTGTCATTTATTACGCTACCTTCATCAGTTCTTGAAGTGACAGAATAATACTGGTGTATGTGTTGGATTTCCTCTAACTGTTAGGTTACGAATTACATAGTGTCATTATGCAGTCACAACAATGGCACAGACCAATGGATACTAAAAACTGAAAATACTGTCCACACACTGCTAAGAGATACAGAAGACAAAACTAGGTAGACTAGGTCTTTTGCTCCGGGAAAAGCCAAAGCTAACTGAAAATATATTAGTATATTATTATTTATCTCGGTCAGTAACTATCAAGCTCAATCTTGGAAAATTGTCTTCTCAGACACTGGTTAGTGATGAACTAATGGCATTTCAGTAATACAACATTTGACTGAAATTAATGTAGATCAATAAAATACGAATGACACTAACACTGGTCAAAGTTAAGGACAAAACTTAGACCATATTTTACATGGAAATTATTGACCAATGAAATGTTCATTTATCTTTCTAAAAATTATATTGTCCCATGGGAAATATGGAGTCTGAGGGTAATGGACAGCGGTTTCGTTCTAGTATGCGACTGCTCAGTAGTACTCACTCACGACCCTGCTAGGCGTCGAACTCAGAGTCTTCAGATCTCACAGAGAATGCAACATCTATTGAGTCATAAGGCCCAAGTTCAACGGTTCACAGTTTCCTACTTCTATCAATTAGCGATAAAGCATGACCTTCATCCCGTCCCATCATTGAGTACCATCAGTTGTGATCATTCAAACATTCATATAAATACCGCTAAAATATACAATGGTAGACCCATTAAATCATCCAATCTTTTGTGTAAGCTGTTTTCCTGTGAAACAAAAAGCTGAAAAAGAATAGCTGTTGTATCAATATTGAATATGTTAACGATGTTCATAGGAAAAAACAGTGTAAGACCCTAAAACTTATGAATATTAAATAAATTTAATTTTGAGGTTTGTGGGGATTTCTGGATGTCAGCATCAATGGTAACCTGCTGGTCGTTGAACCTCAAGGTCCTAGGTCCAATCCCTCGTGGAGTCATGGGTGTGCACCGCTGAGGAATCCCATACTAGGATGAAATAGCTTTCCACTACTTCTAAGTTTCTAATCTTTCTTCAGCTAATGCTGGTCCATGATGAATACTAACCTGAAAACATTAAATATGAACTAAGAATTAGTGTGTTATAACTCACGAGGTTGTTTGTCTAAAAAACGTTTGACTGTTAATTGTAAACTTGAAGATGGAGAGAAATGCAGAATGTTTAACTAGATAATATTTAGAACAACCATGAAAAGTTTCTTAAAAAGATATCACCAATTTTTTTTGTCGGCTGCAGAATCTACGTAATTTAGATGATACAGTTCGTTTTAACAGATACCCTCGATAGCTTTCAACTGTCGATTATTTAAGATTGATGCATTAAATACTTGAGTAGTAAGAATAAATTGGTTTCACTTAGGCTTGTATATTTAGTTTAATGTTAATGGGGTTTGTTGAATTCAACTTGTTCACCCCACATTTGTCAGTGTAATACATCTGCAGTTTCATCTTAATCTACGCTTTATTTAAAAGTTGAGACTTAACTAAGATTGAGTTACTGCATGAAACAGTTTTCAGATGTTATTCACCATAATATTTAACTTTTTGTGGGACAGTAATTAGTGCTTTCTCCCAACAAATAGTAGGGATTGCCTTAATTTGAATATTTTAAAATTTGTGAAAATACAGCACACTTTTCACTCCATTTTGAGCAATATCGCCCAGTGAGAGACAGATATATCCAGGTGATGAGTCCCAAATGGGAATAAACAAGTGTCCTAGATTCCACTAGAAGCCACTATTCATGATTAATGGCAAGTTTGAAGATACCGGCTATAGTTAGGTATCCGCAAAACGGCCCACATACCAATAGTCGCTTTTCGATTCGGACTAATCAGAGACTGAGATTCGAAAGCTGTGATATCAAATATTATACTATGGTCGTCGTACAAGGGGTAATTATCGTGACTCAGAGGTCAAGTGAATGAGGCTATAAGTCCTTGGTTCTAGACTTAGTGGGAACAACATCACCCACTGGGAGGTAGATACCTCTGGCTCACAGGTACCAGTTAGGACGAAATTTATGTTCTGAATTTCACTGCTAGCCACTATCGAGGAAACATCACTACTATACGAGAAAAAACTAACTGAATTTCAACATATGTAATTCATATTGGAGGTTTGTGGGGATTCATTTATTTTAAGTGAGTACTCTTCACTAACTGATGTCAGTTGAGGAGCGGTTAAGAACACCTGAGTACTAGACACCCCTTTCTTCTCATCATGAGACTCCTAAGAGTTGGATATTTATCACCCCATCAGTTCTCGCGGTGAGCACTTTGCGATTGAACCACCGGTTGAGATTTAGTGATCTACATTTTCCTGCTTCTGCCAATCCGCGATATAACGTGACTGTCATCCAGTGCCGTCGTTGAATATCCTTCCTCACCTGCGACTTCCTTTAATTAACAAAGGTTTAGTATCACAAAGATGAATTTCACAGTACAGTTGTCCGTGTTTACAAGCAGTATTGAAAGAGAACAGCATCCTGCTAATGACTATCACTCTTTGAATACAGTTGGCTGTATGTTTATGAAAGTGACTGGATTTCGACTTCTTTCTATGCTTGTGCAGCAATCATTCAGTCAACATTGGAGTAGAACCATACAGTGACTTCAGAAGCATCTGTGTACCTCTTGTGTGTTACACTAAAATTATATGTAATAAGAAATTAATGCAGATTTTGAAAGCTCTTCACTTATCAACAAATTACTGATAAGCAGTCCCGACCATCAATGTAAGTGAAATCATACAGTGATAAAAAAGAAGAACAAGTACACGACTTCATTAAATTCAGCTGACAACTCTTTCGAACTGCAGATTTGGAATATCTTGGGATTTTATCAAAAACTATCAAAACTTAGCGCTAAATCGCTCTGTGAAGTTACATTTCTGAATATTTTAGTAGACTAATTGACTACTCACTTGACAGTAACCAACTTCATGTTGTCTAGTCCTAGGTACTGATCGAATTCTGTTGACCATTTTGAAGTGTGGCGGCCACCAGGCTAGTCGACTCAACATCGTGATGCACTTTGATGGATGTAAGTTAAATTGAGGCAATCGGTAGGAAGTTCTGGACCTAGGTTTCGTGCTCTTTGGCACTCATTTAGCAAGGTGTATAGTATCTGAAACCTCTATGGAACTGATGTCCCGTCTGGGGTTCGAACCTAAGCCATCCATTGCTGCAGTCAGAGATGTTGCCACGTTATTAGACTTCAGAAGCTCTTATAACACTTCCACAAGCCGTATTTAAACTAGATCATCTCTCTTTGTTTATCCGTGTTTAGTACATTACAAAAAATGGCTACTTTTCTGGAGGTGCAGGTTATGTTCTATCACGAGAAGCATTGAAGCGTATAGTTGAACAGGCTATTGACAAACACCCAGACTGTCCAACATATGATGAAGACAAAGAAGATGTGAAAATGAGTAAGTGTTAAAAATGAAGTAAAACCTTAAAAGGCTGAAACCGAACAAATATATTACTTCACTAAGTTTTGGCACTTAAATAAAGACCATCACTTTACTATGAACTGAACGCTGCAACATAGTAAATACTCAGGTCATCGGACTTGAAGGTTTAAAGGTTAAAACATTGTAAGTCCTAGTGAATTAGATGATTTTGACCTACCTATTATAATCAAAGTCTGTAATTGCTGTTTCTGTAGATATTAGAAGTAGACCACTACAAGTCGACTACTATCATTTCAACTTCACGACAAGGTCTTCATTTGTTCCCCAGAAAAGAATTTACTACGTTTTTGAATCAAGAATGGAAGTATGAAGACTTAACCTGGAGAAGTCTCTGTTTTGTAGCTTTCGTCACTCATCAGCAGTGCATATACTCAACCTCGAGTGTATTCTTGCTACTATAGTCATATAACTCAGTGGTGCATGGAGCAAAATATAGCTGAATTACTCTACCCAATTTTATGCTTTAGTTTCGACTAGCAAATGTTACACTGTCAAGTCAAGTATAGATGGAAATTTTGTCATATGGATGTAGGGAATTAGTTTTGAATCCTTCTATACTGGCGTAAATATGAAAAGTACTATTTGAACAGGCCTTGACATAAGATAGATCGGTACATAACAACCAATTGTGTTGCAAACAGATGCTCAACTTTAAAAGTCTTTAGTCTTCCGTTTGTGAGAAAAATATCTGCATCTCATTAGCATGTAGAGGTGATTCATATAGCTTCATTGTGAAAAAAGGCTTATATCAGCCATCTGTTAAACTTAAAATGCACCCAAGGTCATCATTTTAAGAAAGACGGAGTTCATGTTCCAGCACAAACCAAAGCAAGGCATTCCACTGTGTTTAACAATTACATGTATGTATGGACACATGTACATATGGAGGAGTAAACATGATATGCAGTTAAGGATGGCTGAACATGTACCTAAGTGGGTTCGAAAACAAATGATCTCAACAGATCAGATAAATGCAGGTGGAAAACATATATCTTCATCTATCGGCAAACATATGTTGTTAATTAGTATTACATAAAGATAGTCGGGACCGAGTGCTTAGTAACATTGAAACTCTGGTCATCCATAAATTCAAAGCTCCCTTAGATGTATAAAAACAATTTGTACTCATGTTGAAACTACCTTGTTAGTTGTCATTTTCATTTTAACTATTTGTTGATATACTTGTAATTCTCCGTTGATATACCAAGAGTGATGTGGTTTAGACTTTCTCCTCTGCCCATCCTATTCCTATATTTCTTATTAACTTAATTAAGTCTTCTCCTTAATTTTCATATTATTAGTTTGATAAGTCCATGTATGTGATCAGTGTGTTAGAAATATATAGCACTATTATATCACATGTTTCCGTTATTCTTCGTCTTCTCATTACGCTATTTCCAAACATTTTTCACTATATGTATTGTGCATAAGCAGGATTCCTTGTACTTAGTTGACAAATTTTAATACTTAGACAGGAGAAATGGTGTACCAGATGGAATTTAGATTTACTTTAGTTTCTAGAAGTGCTCTAAACCAAATAAATATAAAAGTTTTAGAAGCGAAATTTCAACAAGATTTTTAGTTATCATTTTGACCATCTGAGATAGCCATGATTTGGCAGACAAGTACTGATACTAGGTGATGACTGAAGGCGAAATGAAACTAAGGACCACAACCCCGGTGGTCACTGATTCGAATTCGGCTGCAATATCTGCTTAAACCTCTTCATCCTTTCATTTTTACTTCAGTGTGTTTGAGAATTCATGATACATGTTGAAAAATTTCACTTTTAATCTCCAGGTATGTGTGGTCAACCAGTTGGAGTGAAATTATATCATATAGTTGATTTAAATGGAACATTTCCATTTACCTGGCGTAGAGAACAAAGAAATCACTACCTTTTTCAATGGCGTAATCTTGAAAGCGAGTTCCTTAGCTTAGTTCAAGCAGAAAAACACTCGACGGATCCAAAACGACCCATGCCTTTACCAAGAAACTTCGATCATCTTCATGATCCAGGTGTAAGAGTTTTTAAATGCTTATGAACTATGCTTTCTTAAATCATGTTGCACTTTTACACGTTTTCGTTCACTTAGTAGTTGATTGGTCCAATGTTTCGTCTTTACTTATTTATTCAGCAGAATACTGACACACTTTTCTCTCAGTACTAATTTAGAATTTGTCTAAAACTGTAAGGAGCTCTAAAATCCTATTTTACTCATCTTGAAAAAAATCAAGTGAAAATTATTTCAGATTGAAATCTACTACTAGTAGTAGTATCTTAATCTTAGTGTGCCTATTAGATGTATATTGCATACAGTGGGATGATAATATTTACTGGATAACTTTTTGCACACAGTTTGGTATTCGTAGTCACAACTTAGATACATGGTTGACACAGAAATGGAACTGCATAAGCCATATCTCAAGGCTGTGGAGTCACTTCAAAATGAGTATGGAAACGTTAACCAGTACACAGTACTGCTCCACTGTGTCACATGTGGTAAAGTACCTAACTGGAATGTGAATTCTACCACAGTGTCCATGGTTTCATGATTTAATTCCTCTTTCTAGTGATAATTTATTCTCTTGCACATCAACCCACTCAATTCTTGTGCCTTGTATTCTCATCCGTTAATATGTGTTCCTATCACTTGATTTCTCATGAATCCATCGTTATCACTTCCGACGTCCCTATATATACTACTTATATGCATTTGTTTAAGTAGCTCTCACCACAGTAGTAGTATGAATCAGTAATAATAACAATACTAATCCTATCACATTTCGATAAAAATCTTCATCTATGCTTCAAAATATTTCATTCACTGAAATTAAGTATGCACATAGAGCTTTTCTAAGTATACTTTAGTTACTCATAATTATTAAGGTGAAAACCAAAGGAAGTAATCACTGAGTTCCAATTCAAGTCAATTTATGTGATCTCTAGTCTACTGAAAAGTTAGTTTCAGGTCTAGAGGTATATGCAATGAAAGGCAAAAATAAAGCTAAACTCCATAATATGTATCTCCCCTTATGAAATTTTACATTTATTCGGCGCCATATTGACTACACTGAATGATACTAGTCACTTAAGCAGTCTGTATGATTCCTTTTTCCCTAATAAATCTGCCACTGGATACTGCTCACTGTCTTTCACTTTAGTTGTTTTTGTGTTACTGAAAGGAACTGAAATGATTTACTGCTTTAAACAGAACTCAAGTAATTTTTTAATTAACTGTAAGACAGATCTTCGGGTTTATGAGGGAGCAAGGATTCCATAGAGTTTACCAACTACCCTTCACGTTGATTATCAGTATGAAACTTGCTTTAAGGTATGGTTGTTCAGGATTTACCCCAAGAATTCAAAAATCTTGTTATTACTAAAGTTTTCTTACTGAGCAACGACGTTTGTTCTCCTTTGCGAGTGAAGTGGGCCAAAGGTAGCAGATTTTACGATGTATTTATTATCAACCTCTGGTCTATGAAATTATTTTCGAACTTACGAACTTTAATAATACGATAAATCCTGGCGAGATTATTAGTTTTCTACTTTCAATTAGACACATAAAAACCGTTTGATTCAGTGTATTAGATCCAGTGTAGTCATGTTTAGCCTTATTCATAATAGTGTCTATTGGTGTTATTGCTTGTATTGCTTGTAGCCACTGTCCATCATTACTAAACATAGTGTCTGTTGGTCTCTGAATTTCCTTATACGGATATGTTAAGAGCATTAAGAGACAGGATCATATGAAAAAATTAGGAAACCAACGGAAAACAATATGAATAAGTTTAAAAATAACTACAGTGGATTTAATGTTTCAAGTTAAACCGTTTGCAGATGGGTCGAAATGGTATCATTCAAAGCTGAAAACTAATAATCTCGGTGGGATTTACGGTACTTTGAAACTTCAAAAACTAGGTTATTCTACTAGATCCAAAGTCGGATTTGGAGTCACTCAAGGCTACAAGTTATCTGAATACTAAGCATCGGTACTAAGTCCAGTCTAAACCAGTTTTAGTCTTTATACTTATACACTGACTGAGGTGCCTCTTAAAGAGGCTACAAATGAGCTTGACAATAAACATAAGCTTAAGCTTTGAACTAAGGTATCATTTGAGGATGTTATGCTAGAAGCACAGTTATGCCTGACTTCTACTGCCTATAAGTTTCAGAATAAAATATAGAAACAATGAGTTGCTCTGACACCCCCCCCCCTTAGTGGCACACATATTCAGGCATAGCTGGGCACGGATAGTCCTCATAAAATTTAATGCTACTCCATACACGGTTTATGTGTGTAGATGACGTGAAAGCTTATCCTTTAGGTTACTGGGAAACATTAGATGACTGGAGAATACTATCCTCAAAGTTGACGTGAAGAAAGCTTTCTTAGCGAGTTTGAAATTCTTCTTTTCAAGGTATCAGCAGAGAAGTTACCTTTGAAGTCAAGATTCATGCACAATATCTTCTTTGGAAGTGAAATTGGTATCTCTCTTTGCGGTTTCAGTCTCAAATTCTTGTCCACAAATCATACTACACATCCGTTTCCAGCCAAAACACTTTTAAGAAACGTGAATCCTTTTTCTAAGCTAATAGTGCTGCATATTTTTTGAATGCGGTGGACAAAGGATACGATAAGTGTTTTTTTCGGCTTATAGGTACCCAACTGATCATTCCATATTGATTTCCGGCATATTTCCTTCATATCCGGTTAGTTACCTTGGCTTCAATGCTCTTTTGTAACTATATGACATTGCACTCCATCGCAGTACCCAAATTTTTGGATTTATCTCTAATACTTTTCTTTCTTTTTCATCCATAGGATTTGCTTAGTGATCACTTGATTAGTCTTCATTATGTTCAACCATTTTACATGTATTTACTTGAATTCATTGTGTATCATTTGAGACCAATCCAAGTTATGGATTATTTGAACTAATGTCAAGTAAATGCAAACAAAAAAGAAGTGAATTTTTGTTCAATGGTTAAAATCTGTAGACTGTTTTTATGATAATTTTTGTTTTAAAAACTAATAGTAGATGTTTAAAATTAGTGAGAACTGAAACAAATATGCATTTTTTTTCTTCAATGAAAGAGATTTCAAGATGGTATGTAAGCTGTGGAGAGATGTACAAGGGGGGAATCGATACACGAAACAAGTGAACTATCCAGTCGGTATAGCTTATATACCACCTGTATCCGATTATGGCGATTTCCACTGATCTGAGATGAAAAAACAGTAGTAGATAAAGGTAAAACCGCATAAATGCAAAAATACCAGGTGATACACAAAATATCTTAGTAATCGACATTAAAGCGCCTCTTTTTGAAACACTTTCAAAACCTTTTTGTAATGCAAGCATGAGCGAGCAAACCAAAGACTAAAAGCGTATCAGCACTAATCAGACTCGTCTAGACCTCAAAACCTTACATGAAAAAGTGGTAAAGTTTTTTAGTCGTTTGGCTCAGTAAGATCATCGACCAACACATGTAGATGACGCCTGGTCACTACTGCCATTTATTTCTTTACTATCACAACCACTACTCTTTTAAACTAAAAAGCCTTCCTTCATTTACTATAGCAATTGTTGCGCTGATGATTCTAGTGTGAAGATGGCTGGGTCACAACCGTAAAACATGCATCAAAGGCTTTAGGTATCCGAAGTTGATGGCTATTAATGGACGGTGACCCACTGTTTTCACATAATGAGCACGTGGTGAAACAAAACAAATTATCTGAAAACCCCTTCTGGGAACTCCATTTGACAGCACTGATATTTATCTGAATATTTTCACCCGCATTTTGGATGTTATCCTTTAACCCTAACTTATGTTATATTCTTTTGTCATTTACCTGTGTTCTTTGACTTCAAACTCATTATTCGTCTTTGTTTTGATTGAGACCTATCGTTAATGCTTCACTTTTCTATTGTATGATGCTAAACTGTCGACAGTATGGCGTTGTCTAATTGTTTCCGACATTTTGTTTTGACTGAACTTAAGGTCGCTCTGTGAAGTGACTGCTTGTCTTTTGACTGTCTACTGGAAATGTTTATTGATTAGTCTGATTCTTGTCGAGTTTTGATGCCATTTTGTTGGGAATATTGTTGCTCTTTCTCAGGTATTTAACAACTGTATCTGGTCAATCGATTTTTTGCAGCATTGTACGTATTCCGTGCCTAGCGGCATTGCTGAGGTACTTTTTTTAATCTGTATATAGCTTGTTCTTGCTGAATAGTACCACAGATTCACCATAAATCTATCATAGATTTATCGCGTCAAATCGTACTTCGGTATTGGTGAAACATAATCTTTGACTGTACGTGACTCAAGGAAGTTTGTGAAGCCATACAGAAGAACGCACCAACTCTTGTCAGTCACGTTAGCTTAATTCCATTGAATTATTTTCTGCGTTCAGACAGACTTGGATCTCGGTCGTAACAAGTGGCAGCTGGCAGACTGCCAGCATCGCTCGTCTCTTGCTTAGTCCCATGTGCACCAAATCCTCATGCCGTTGTTGGATATTGTGGGTGCATTCTTCTCTGAGTTTCCAGTTAGTTCTGTATTTCTGTTCAGGACCATACCTGTGGGTCTTCACAGATGCAAAGGTTTTCGTTATACCTTTCTCACCAACTGAGGCTAATACAGTCTGCCTCTCATGTTGCATGATGGTAAGTCTGAGAAAACAGAAAGAATCTCTAAGTATTTGCAGCCCGTTTCACGGTAACCCTGACCGGTGGAAGCTAGCCTCACGATGAACAGCTGCTTTTGCTGGGCTGACATAGCTAAGCTTCCTGGTCACCCAACCCTAGAGTAGACCAAATGGCACCTTAATGACATCTGTGAAAAAGTTCCCTTTTTGGAGCTGGCCGGCATTGTACCTAGGCATGTTCGTTAGGATGATACAGCTTGAGAGGGTAATCAACTCTTGCACAGTCATTTTCTATGAATGAGTTTCTGATAACAAGTCACCCCCTCTTCTTCACTTGCACCTGTGTTTTAAGATGTACTACCCGCAGTTAGTTTCAAGGTTTCACTCTCCTTCATCTTATTGCCAAATGCAAATGCTTTCGTTTGGGCGAAAATTACTGGAAGACCCTTTCGGAGTCTTCCTAAGGTATCCCTTAATAAAAAACTGGCTAATTCAACACTCTGCACAAATGAACAAGGACCTAGTACACTGCCGTGCGTTATGTAAGTGCAAAACTGGTTCGATATATCCATCTGCAATGCATGTAACTTCAAAAATGTCATACTTCTGGTTAGAACGCATAGTATAGTCTATAATAGGTTTCGACTCGATTAAAACATATTGTTACACTCCCTTTGTATAGTCTATTTAGCTTCCTTGAGTTAAGCGTAGCCAAACAATATCCCAGAACGGGACACTATTGATATGGTTATATCCACATTACATCTACGGTACGCTTTAATTATTTACATATGCAACAAAATGTGACTCAACAGTACCGCCATGGTAGTGCACAGTTAACAATAACTTCTTTGGTACAAAAATGCTAGCCTATGTGGCAGAAGGGATTAGTTAGTGATGAAGATTTCAAACTCACAACGAGCTGAAAGTATTCTCAACAAAAGAGGCTTAAATATCTTTCTACAGACGGCAAAGTGAAAACCAAAACAATGATTTCTTCCTATACAACCTCGAACAGAGAAAAACAACATGAGTGAAAGTAAAACAAAACTTCGAAAGCAGCAAATTACAGCTAAAAATTGGATTAGAAAGGATGAATGCAACTATATTATTACCAAACGTTGGAAACTGAAAAAAGCACTCCTGTGAGTTTGGGCAATATCGAGAGTAAGAAAACAAGGTAATAAGAACATATTTTGACAAAAAACACAACGGCAAGAGTAAGTATAACGTCGAAAGTCATTAAGGAAGGATTTTTTCTGTATATTCCGGTACAATAGGTGACTTATAAATTTATTATAAATGTTGCGCTCGCAGACCGACACTTCTTGGCTACAGTGAGCCACATGTATGACAAACATCGGCATGGTCACTGTGTTTCGCTAAAAGGTTTTCTCTGAATCCTCTGCTTTTTTCTCCCAGGATTTTCTAAAGGTGGGCTGAACCTTCTGACAGATGCTTAAAAAATGACTGCTACTTGCTAATTGAGGATAGACGTGCACAGAACCCCATAGGAGTTTGGGATTTGGATGTTCTTAGGTACTGTTATTCATGACTGTGCGGTTATGGTTGATCCAGGAAATTAACAACTATTTTATAAAGCATAGCCCTTGAATAGGGCCTGTACGATGACACTATTCATCTACCTATTTAACGCCAGGATGAATTATAATTGATAAAATGAATGGAGCGATGTCCATTCGGCTTCAGTCAAAGACATACACAAACGTTGGGAGTCTAGACCGAGAATATTGATTTTTATTATCTGAACGAAAATTTAAATCGGAGTTCTGACCTGGATAGAGATTACAAACTTGCAGCTGATTCAGAAGAAAACAACTAGGAGAGTTAGGCGTTTTTTGTATGTATCGAGCAAACAGAGAGTCAAAGGAAGAGAAGAATTTCCCAAAACAAAAATTTTATAAGAAAACTGGTAGGATTTAAAAGTTGGAGGTAGCATTTTTCGACCGAAAGTAATGCAAGTTTAGTCATGGTAACACTACAAGAAGAATGTATACCTAGTATGTTGCTTTTGGTGAGTCGGTTTCATCAGCCACTTTCAGATCAATTAAGATAGAAACACAAACAACAGTTTTTATAGTGGCAACAATGATGATGGTGATAAGGGTAATAACAAATGCATGTGTACACAGATGGATGTAAGGAGAGCAGATGAGACAACAATTCGTGCGACAATGAGGAATAAAGTGTGTCTATACATCTGCCTGCAAAAACGCATGAAAAACCGGAGTTGGGCTTTTTTAAATAGTTTGATATGAATCAGTCAGTGAGACTGAAATATCATTTAGATATGGTCATCTATCGATTATAACGACAGCTATGGTCAGAGAATGTAAGAATAAACATTGCACGTTAGTGAGGTGGGAGTTTTAGAGGGTGACGGAGGTCCATAGATGGGGTTTTAACCTTTCCGGATACACGACTATGGCTTTTAAGGAGGCAGAAGCCTGAGCTTCGAGGATGGATGGTCAGGGTGATATTCTCATCCTTGCCATAGACCTAATTTTGCTACTAAACAAGCTCCTCAATGATCAGACAGTGTGATAATCTCAGATGTGCTACGGTCACTTCCTTCGATTACAGGATGCTGGAAGAATTACATCCGTCTATAAGGAGGTACAAGCTCCAGTCCGAATAACTATAGATCATCCATTTAACTCTCACACGTGTTAAAAATACTAAATGTTCCAGTTGACAATCGATTTTACCATTTGGCGGATATTTCACCGGCTACAAGTGTACAGTATATTTTTACAAAAGCCCCTTGCGTGTGGCTAGCATACGTTTAGCATTCCGCTGATGAACAACTTCCGTCGATGACATAATCTGAGGAAAGTGATTCAGCCTAAACATCTGGAAGGTCTCTGTCTTGTTTAGTCGCTATCGCCTACCTTTTGAACTAGATCTCACTTCTACGGCTCAAATTATTGGCTGATAGGTGACGAGGATACGGACACTTGAATGCCAAACAAAGAATGTTCATGCAGGCTGTAGCACAACTCCGCAAACATTGTTCCCCGCAGCGAAATGCATACAACAACTTTCGCCGCGAGCCTTTAATTTTGCAGCCACTGTGGTTTGTTACCAAGTCAAATTCAGCAGTGTCATGAAGGGAAACAAAAAGTTCAGCATCCCTACACAAACAAACTGGATGCAGTCAAGCAAAAGGACAGTCAGGGTGTTTGATTTCACTACAAGCGTGAAATCAAATCTACGCAATGTCTGACACTTCTGAGAGGTAGGTTGTGAGACGGTTCCTACCTTTGCTTTATAGTTGTCATTCCAACGCCAAGGTTAGCCTTTTTCTCAACCAGATGCCTCCGTATGATATTCCATAGGCCTCAATAATTGGTTTTTTACCAAAATAATGAATATTCGGACTACAGTTGTTATGAGTGCCCTGGAAGAAGCTGAGCTTCTAGTCTGAGTGTATTAAAATATACTGTAGTGGTGACTGGACCTACACTGTTTCCATAGTACTTTGACAACCCATACAAGAATCCTGGACTGCCATAATAATAATAATAATAATAATAATAATAATATGTTTCGAATGATGAATTATACGGACGCGTGCCATTTTATAGACAATATCTAAATCTTATTTCCCTATTGAAGTTGTAAAAGTTCAGAAAGAAACAAATCATCTTGCAACACAGTCTTCTGGAGTAAACAAACGCTTAGATATTGCTGGTAAGAAGTATTGCTTAAAAGCAATATCGTTAAACAGCAGTGGTGAAAATTAATGAGGATATGATCTCTCAGCATGGCAATAGTGAGTCACGTAATCCATAAGAGTATATTGCATATTGAATGTTGAGAACAAGTGAATCTGAAGATCTGTCATTATTCAAGAAGCTTATCATCTCCAGATAGTTTGAAGATATGGAAAAATAAATAAATAAATAAATTTTTATTCTCACATTAGTAATTTAACATGAGAGAAGCCAGTTTACAGGCATCATCACATTGATATATATCGAAAAATCTACAAGATTTTATGGGTCCTGAATAGTACAGAGGAGAGGTCGTTTAACTCCATCAAAAACATCAGACCGCTGTTACGGGATAAAGAAAATACCACTTCCAGCATATGCAGTGCGTCAAAGTGAAGATAATAAAGATTCCCATTCCATATAATGGATTTGACATGACAGATACCAGTTCACAAGCACCCTCAAAATGATGATTTTGAAAGTGTACGGAATAATGCCGGGAATTACATAACTCACATAGCAAGTTATTGATATGCATAAATTTATTAAAACTTGCTGCGAATCAAGAGACGGGTGTGGATTTCCATCTGTTATTACACAGATAGGCTCCACTATTAACGACAAAAGCTCGCAATGTTCGAAGTTTGTGTTATAACTAGACGACGTTGCTAGTCCATTTGCATAGCTTCTTATTTAGTAATGTAAACATCCATTCACTAGAAAGTTCTTCAGTTTTTAGCTCTGCTAACCACAAAGGGACTATTTATACTATCTAGAGTATCAGTAAGTATCCACAGTTATATAACCAAGGTTAGTGTCTAAATCCATGCATTTCGAGTTCGCCATGTGGTTTAAAGGTAGTATAC